TTGTGAAGCGTGAAGTTTCCTGCATGTTTGGAAGGCAACAAAGCTCCCTTACAGACATTCTGTGCTTCACCTCTTTCATCACCTCCTCAGTGACTGCTCCTGGGACCACCGGGCAGACCGGGGGCTCCTCTTCCTCCCCCTCACCTCCCCTGCACTCTCCTGCAGCATGACGGCGATCCCACTGGGCTGTGACCTCTCATGTCTCAACTGTCTTCCGGACTAGCCTCCAAGCTCCTTAAGAGCAGGGCCCTCAGCTTTTCTCATCTGTATTCTTAGCACCTAGCCCAGGGTCTGGCCAGGCACTCAATAACATCTGGGGAAAGAATGAACAAATTCAGACTACCTGAGAAGCAGTGCAAACTGCCGGTTAAGAGCTCAAGCACTCGAATTTGAATCCCAGTGCTGTTCCTTATTACCAGTGCAAGCCTCAGTTTCCTCTTCAGTAAAATGGGGATAACAGGAGTATCTACCCTCAAAGGATTAAGTGAGGGTTACATAAGATGGGATAAGTAAAGGCCTGAGCACTGATCAGATCAGGGGAAAGCAGGCAGGAAATGGAAGGTGAACACAGACTTTGTTCATAGTCCAGCAGTTGCCAGGTAACTCCTGAGAACTTGGAAAATATAACTACCACTTGGGTGTAGGGGTTGACTGAGCACATCAGGCCATGGCTATCTCCATTTTAACGCCAAAGAGGAGCACGTGCATAGGGCCCCAGTGGCTGAGGGCTGCGAGGAGGCAGCTGCAGCAATTGAAACCACAAATCTATTAGAAAAGTTCAAATGGGAAGCTATCTGTCTCTCCTTCCAACTGTCGCCTGCTGTCAGGAACTGAGGCGTTGGTTCCATCAGGCTCTGAATCCCTTTTGCTTTCTGTCTGTAGGGCTCCAGTGCGGCCCCTCCCCTTGCCCTCCCCTCACTGTGCTGCCCACAAGATACCTCCCAGACAGCTCTGCCAAGACTGATTCATGTTCCTCAGATCCTCCTACTGCAGGTTTTCTTTTTCACAGAACAAGGGCCTGAAATCATTTTTAATGTTTCACAAAGCAAACAATCCTAGGATGAGGGGTGAGGGGAGGAAAATCAAATACGTCACAGAACAGCCTTAATAAAGGACATTTATATTTCAGGGTTCCCTGTAATTTTCACATCAGGCACCATCTTTATAATTTGGAAGTTAAGTGAATGAAAAGAGGGCACCTCCACAGCCACAAGCCCAAGGAGACCACCAGCTGTACATCACGGAGGCAGCCCTCAGAGCTGCAAAACTGGATCCAGATACAAAGCTCTAAAGATAACTGTGGCGGGCACAGCTCACTGGCCATCCCAGCGGGCACAGCTCACTGGCCATCCCAGTATCCACTCCTCATCCCCTTCCCCCAAACATCTTGACTATAGGAGCTAAAAAGCCCAAACTTGCTTTCCTAGTCTCCCTTGAAGCTGGGGTAGCCATATGGCACAACTGGGGCTAACACAACATCAGTGGAATTCTGCTGGGGGTTTCTGGGAAAGTTCCTGCTTTTCAGATAAAAGAAAGATTCACTTACACTCTCCCTCCTGCTTCTTTCTGTCTTGAGTGGAAAGGTGATGCCTGGAGCTGTAGCAGCCATCTTGCAACCATGAGGTGATGGGCAGGAAGGAAAGGTCAAGAGAACCACCAACATGCCAACTCAGAGCTGTATCCCAGTTCAGTCTTAGCAACTGGGACTTCTTATGCAGGAAAAGTAACCTCCCATTTGCTTAAGCCATCATAACTTCGGTTTTCAGTTACTTGCAGCTGAAAGCATTACTAACTGATTCAATCTCTCATCCTTGTCGATATAGCAGGACCTCTACACTAATTCAAGACTATTTCTATCATACCAGATTTTAAAGTAGATGTCCTATCTCGTCTGATCTTCTTTGAAGTTTTGGACCCATTTATCCAGGCACCTATTATTTGTACATCTCTACTCAAACGTCTCATGGCCACTGCAAACTCAAAAGGGTCAGGACTACGTCTCCTCCAGGACTCCCTATCCCAATAAGTAGCATAACTATTCCTTTCTTGTTCTAATCAGGCCTTTCTTGATGACACCATCTCCTACCTATCCTCATTCAATATATTATCAAGTTCTACAGATTTCACCGTTTGAATGTTTTTCTAAAGTACCCACTTCTCTCCACTACTCCCACTTAAGTCTAAGTTATGCATGCCTGGACTACTGCACTAGTCTCTTAATTGGTCTCTCTGCATCCACACTTGCTCTTTCCACAGTGAATTTATAAATACACAAATCCAATCATGTCATTCCTTTCCTTAGAATCCTTTAATGGTTTCCCATGGCCCCCAAGATAAAGCCCAAATTCCTTAAGACCTGAAAGGCCTTGCCTGACCTGGCCCCCACCACCTCTCCAGCCCTATCCTGAGTCTCTCCCCTTGGCTCTCTCAGTTTAAGCTATACTGTCTTCTTTCAGCTTCTCAAACTCATCATATATATTTCTGTTTTAGGGCCACCACACATGATGTTCCCTATTTGGGGTGCTCCCCTCCAGCTTTATGGCCTTCTTAACCCTTATTCATCCCTCTGTAGCCCAAACAGTAAATTTTCCATTTCAGATATTGTACTTTTCTGTTCTAGATTTTGGTTTTTTTTAAAAAATAGTTTCCATTTCTCTTCTGAAATTCCCCATCTGTTCACTCATTACGACTATGTTTTCCTTTAAGTCTCAGACCATTTGTATAATAGATACCTCTGGCTTTATCTCCTAATTCCAACATCTGGGTCATCTCAGGATCTATTTTTATTGGGCTGCCTTTTTCCTCTTGATTACGGGTTATAATTTCCTGCTTATTTGCAAGTCTAGTAATTTTTTATTATATTCTGGACATTGCAGATGAAATCAACCGTACAGGGAGTCAGGATTATGTTGTCTCCCTATAAAGGTGCTAAGTTTCATTCTGAAAGTTCCTTTTGAAACTTTCAGGGTTTTAAAATAATTAATTAATTAATATATATATTTAAGGAAGGAAGATTTGCCCTGAGCTAACATATGTGCCCATCTTCCTCTATTTCGTATGTGAGTTGCTGTCACAGCATGGCTCATGAGTGGTGTAGGTCCACATCCTGGATTCGAACCCATGGGGCCGCTGAAGCGGAGCACGTGAACTTAACCACTAGGCCATGGGGCCAGCCCCTGCTGTTATTTTTATGAAGGTGAATCTATTTTGATTTTGTCCTCAGTCGTAGGGTGAAATCCATATTTCTAATACATGGCCTTTTTGGGGTTTCGAGCACATACCTTCGGCTGGACCATAACCCCAAGGTCTCCCAGCACTGTGCAGCCCCCTTGGATCTCTGTTCTGCTTTCAGTCCTGTAGCAATCATTTTCTATTAGGCCTTATGGAGTCTTGTTCTGTGCATGTGCACCCCTCAGCCAAGGACCTGTAGTAAACATAGATCTCTTCCCACCTCTACCATTCCCATGCCACTCCCTCTTCTCCTGATTTTCAGGGCAAACCAAGTGCTGACCTCCAAAGACAGTTTTTTCAATAAATCTGCACAGGAGTTCAGCAAGAACCAGGCGAGTCACCATGGTAACTAACCATTTCTGCTGAACAGTTGAAAATTCACAGCTGACAATTTAAAGAATAATGCCCCTCAGTTCGGTTATTACATTTCCAACTTCAGGCAGAGGTCAAAACAAAATAGCTAATTAGGTGGTCTTTCCAACAATGCCTAGTACAGAGTCACCTGACAGGTCCTTGAGGTGACCTGACATGCCTCCCGGTAATACAGTGGACCCCAACTGTCAGCAGACAGGGGCTCCCACGGCCTGGGATATTATAGAAAGCAATGTCCTCAGCTTTGTTCTTCTCACTCAGTCTCTCAATGTTATGGTGTGCTTAAAAGGAGCAAGGCATTGTGTTAAGTTCTAACGAGTAGTTTTCCAAATCCACATGCTATTCTCTGCTACATTCCGAATAAACGATGAGAAAACAGCCTCATTTAAGATATGTCTTTTGAGTGAGAAAATTGGAGGTTATATATCCATATGGCATTGGTATGGTGAGTTGTCTACTGTGGTTCTAATTCAGCAAAGTTTTGTAATGATTGGAAGTTATTTATAACTTTGTGCTTTCTTTGCGTATAAGAAGTGCAGTACTGGGTCTAACCCAAAGTCATTTCAGTCTAGTACCCTATCTCTGACAGAGCGACCCACGGGCTACTATGGAGGGTACAACTATCATTCTTACGGTGACTACCACAGGGGAAGAACTAGAGAGTGGTTCCAGCATATGCAGAATGGGTTATTTTGCTCAGGCTGTTAGTGATTTAATAAGCAAGCTCCTTCTTCCAAGGGTTGCCTTTGCCTTGAATCTTGGAACACGTAAAGAGCCAGAACGCACTTAAAGACTACTTGGTCCCAGACTCTCCTTTTACTGATGAGGAAACCCAAGCCCAGGGACTCGCACCAGTTACATTGTTAATTAGGGACCGATAAGAGTTAAAATCCAGAGCTTTGGGTCCTGGCTTAGTTCATTTCCACTATGGCCTTCCCGCATGAAGACCAGCTACCTCTTCATTCTTTTTAGAGGGCCTTCTCTGGACTCTCTGAAATGTCATTCTGTCTTTTGGAGGTCTTACAAGAACTATGCAGATGAAGATACATTTTTTTTCCTAGCTTTATTACTGATATAATTGCAGATAAAATTGAATGTTTTTTTGCCTCTACAGCAGTACAATGATTGAGCGCATTCCTTACAATGACCTCCAGGTGCCATTCTTGACTTATAACTGAGTCACTCATAACTGAGTTATAATTTGTAACTGAGCCCAAACCCATCACCCTCTAACTGAGTGACCTGAGGCTCATATGCTTCCTGTCTGCACACCCACGGCTCCAAGAGCCCTTCCTAGGGTTCACTCCCAACAGTGAGGCCTTCCAATACTTAGAAGACCTTAGTGCTATCTGCCAACATGTATGGCATTGTTGGGGAGCCTCCGGACTGATACTCACCTTTGCATAAGCAGTTGTCTTAATAAACCATTGTCTGAGGTACTTCTGTTCCACCTTTGCTCCAGAACGCCAAGAACAGCCATGTTCATCCACCTGCTCATTGGCAAGCACTGTCTGATCCACTGGGTCCCAGTTAACCAAAGCCTGTTATAATTCATGAAACAAAATGATGCAATCTGGTGAGTACACTTGATAGGATCATTTCAGGGTTCCTTATACTGGAGAGTGTCTGCAAATATAGTATCTCTGCTCTGAGACTTGAGGGCATCTCCTGGGAGTACTGCTTGGCAAAGAAACCACTAGCAAACTGTAAAAGAAGAACACGTAAACTGCCTCTGTGCTTTCATCTTGTTAGGACAGGCTTGGGAAGCAAGCCTTTCAGCGTGTGTCTAACTCAAGTTTGGTATCTTCTTATATGAAAGGACGAACTTGCAGGAACGGAAATTTTAGTCAACAGAGAAAAGAAGAAAAAATAGTACCTAGAATTTAGTAGAACTGGGTTATTTTAGGAGAAACAAATATATTTATTTTAATATAAATAGCTACCATTTATTGAGCAATCACCACGTGCTAGATATTGTGCTGAGTGCCTTACTAAGGTTGGCTCTTATAATCTTCACAACAGCCTTTTGAGGTAAGAATGTTATTATCCCCATATTGCAGAGAAGGAAACTGAGGAACAGAGAGATTAAATAACTTGCCTAGGGTCACAGAGTCAGTAAGCGGCAGAGAGGGGGTAGGAACTCAGGTCTCTAGGAACTGTAAATTTTTTTTTGCAATTTTTTAAAACTTCTGTTTAAATTAAGGTATAACATACATAGAGTAATGTGGATAAATCTCGATGAGTTTTTACCATCATTCATATCAAGATATAGAACATTCCCAGCACACGGGAAAATTCTGTTGTGCCTTCTTCCAATCAACATCTGTCCCACAAGGTAACAATATTCTGAGATCTATCTCCATAGATTTGTTTGGATGATAGAACCTGTAGTCTTAACCATTATGAAGTTTCTCCTTGGAGTTCTCTTCATTTCTATCTTCATTTAAAATGAATACCTCTGCCATCTGCATTCTCTCCTTTATGACGTTTAGGTACCCCTTAGTCCACAGAAGGCAATGAGTACAGACGGATGTGTCTGGGCACTAAAATATCCTGACTTGATACACATTATTTTTTTAAATTTTAATAAGCAATTCTAATAAGATATTGTGCTGAAAATTGTCCATTTGCCCCTCCAAATCCTTTTTTCCACCCTGGTCTGTGCCCCAGGAAGCTGACCTCTGTGCCTGCATTAACTTGGACCCTTGCCCTCTGGCTGGGTTTGACCAGTGAGACACACTTTGGCTTCTTGCCAGCTGGGCTCTGGCTGGCAGTGGCCACACGCCTCTACTGAGGGCCACCACCCCGTTGGGCAGGCCTCTCTACTGCTACAGCTGCTGCTCTCCCAGTTCCAGGAACTGCTCCCCGACACTGCCCCTTCAGCCAGGGGTGGCAAAGGCTTCCTTCTGTGGCCAGCACCAGGTGCTTAACCATCCCTTGCAGGTTTCCCTAAACTCTGCAATCCCTCTATTACATCTTCTTCAATGACTCCTCTTGGGTGTGCCCTCTATTTCCTGCTGGGACCCTGACTGATCCAGAGACATCTAAAAATTACACAAAAAGTAGGAGTGGAGGAGAGGCTAACCCATCTGTGGGTTGTGATTTTACAACTAAAAAGTAGTACATCCATTGAAAAATGAAAGCCTGTGAAGCCTAGAGTTGGAGTGGGAAAGACATGCAGTGAATGATTTTCCCCCCTCATTCTAGAGGCCCCAAAAGCCTTGAATCCATAAATATATAGAAACCAAATACATAGCACAGAAGTATCTAAGACCTAAAAACTTTAGGTTAATAAACCAAGGGTGATTTACTTATCTATTATCATTGCTTGTATTAGCAGTTGGTGGAGGGGTACCATTTAAAATAAAAGGTAAAAAGGAAGGGCCAAGTACTGTGTAGTAAGGTGGATAGTTCACTCAAGAGGCAGTCCCCCCAAAAAAACCCATGCACAACTAAAACCATATAAAATATAAAAGAAACAGAGAAGAAAAGCCCTCTATGCCCCCACCTCTGCCTCCTGCCCCCTGCAAACCTCAGAGGATATGGGAGAAGTAAACACAGTACTGCAGGTTGCAAAAACAAATAGGACTTTATTTTCCTATCAACATTTCCCACATGGCCCGGCATCTCACAGGCTCTAGGTTACAAAACGCAATGAGGGAGATGTGCTCCTAAGAGATTTACACATTATAATAAAACTCTGGTGTCGAAAGAAAGACAAAGAAAGCAAAACACAAAAGCAACTTTTTTCCCCAATGAGAGTTTTGGGGGAAGAGGAAAAACACCAAAGGAAATAGCATCTCAAATCAAAGATGCATAGCTGTGAGAACCCATTCACGTTTCTTCCCAGGACCACGATCCACCTCAACCACAGTCGCAGGGTTCAGGCTCAGCCTTTACATAGGCGGCTAACCCACGTGGGCAAAAGGCAGGGTCCCTGGTCCAGGGGGCACAGCACGTGCAGCCTCCTGAAGCCCTGGAGTTGCTTCCCAAATCCCTTTTCTTGGGTCTCGTCTCTTATACAACGGTCTCTATCACATAGCTTCCTCTGAAGCCAGAGTCTTCTCTTATCCGGCATTCCCAGATTTTCACATTTTGAACATTTACTTCGATGGATGCCTTCATTTTTTTTTTTTTTTGGGTGAGAAAGATCGGCCCTGAGCTAACATCTGTCAATCCTCCTCTTTTTGCTGAGGAAGACTGGCCTTGGGCTAACATCCATGCCCATCTTCCTCTACTTTATATGGGACGCCGCCACAGCATGGCTTGACAAGCAGTGCATCAGTGCACGCCCGGGATCTGAACTGGCGAACTCCAGTCCACCGAAGCGGAGCACATGCACTTAACCACTTGCGCCACTGGGGCGGCCCCTGGATGCCTTGATTTTTAAGCAAGCACAGTCTTGCTACATAGAATATGTTTCTGCACTGCACTGACTATAGCAACTTCCTTGGCTGACATTTATGTTCTCTATCACCTACTGAAGCCAACGCCATGCTCCTTTATAGTTAACTAGCCTTATTTGTAAAATAAACCTATGTTGGTATTCTGAAGTCAACCTTAAATTGATATTGAAATCATTAAAATACTTGCAAACACACTGAACTCTAATAGATTTTGCCCACTGCTTCGCTCACAAAAGTTATCTGGCAACATCACAGAATGAGCCATTTCAAATATGAGATTTCCCCAGTTGATCAAGGGTTAAACACTAGGATTAATATTTTTTGTTTGAGTGATTTGTGGGAAGCTTTTAGAAAGCACTTTAGAAATGCACACCGTCGGGCCGGCCCCGTGGCTTGGTGGTTAAGTGCGTGCGCTCCGATGCTGGTGGCCCGGGTTCGGATCCCGGGCGCGCACCGAGGCACCACTTCTCCGTCCATCCTGAGGCCGAGTCCCACATACAGCAACTAGAAGGATGTGCAGCTGTGACACGCAACTATCTACTGGGGCTTTGGGGGGAAAAAAATAAATAAATAAAAAATCTTAAAAAAAGAAATGCACACCGTAACGCAACCATAAATCTGCCATGTCCACAAGGGTCAGTTTGCACAGTGACGGGGGTGCTCCACCATTTTTGCCTCCCTGCACCCTTGTTGGAGGCGTGGGTGACTATGGGCCCTGTTGGGGATTCTCAGGGCAATGTCATCCTGAATTCATGTTTATCAGCTCTCCTCTCTGTGACACAGCAGCTGTGGTGTCCACTGCCCCAGTAGGCCTCCTCTTCCAAACCTTACTCTTTCTCATCTCCTCCTCCTCTTCCCTTGGATCCTCCTTTCCGTTGCCTTCCTGGGCCTCGCCCTTCACACAGGGTGCCAGTGTGCACGGGCTGCCAGTGTCCGTCCCTTCTAGCTTGCAGCCTCCATTAGCATGCTTTTGTCTCCTCAGTCCTCAGGCCATTGGCTACTCTCCGTGATCTTCCTTGCTTCTTTCTCCCCAAGCTCTGCTTTTATACTACCAAAGACCTTTTCTGAGTACACTGTCAGGCAGCCTCAGGTTCCAGAAGGCTGGTAAAGTACATGTTTTAGGGTATTGATTTTTCTCAAGGTCTGTTAGCTTTTTCCTTGACAAAACAGTGCTTAATTAAGGAACACCACATAGATCTTATTTAAAGATCTAACTCTCAAAATCAATCTTGCTCCATTCCATCCAGAATGGGCCTGAATTTGGACTGAGTCGGGGAGGGGGAGGGTTCCCAAGGCTACTGTTTATTTGTTACTGCCACCACCTTCCAAAGCCACGAGGGGGCAGAGTGGGAGAGGCTGCCTGTTGGTGCACAGGTTCCTTTCAGTATGTTTCCTGAAGTCGAGGCCACACTGCATACCTTGCTTAGGCGGATAATTAGCACTAACACCAACTGCCACTGAAATCATGGAGACAGCCAAAGGCAAACTCATAGACTGGGTAGCTCTCCACAGTTTCCTAGGATGTTCAAGCATAATACAGCATCCTTCTTCTCTCTAACAACTACACCCGTGGAATATATATTTTTTAAACCAGAGGGGTGAAATGAACATTTTGATGGACTGTGCTTGTTAAAACAAAGACTTAAACACTCCAGCTATGCTTAGTAATGCTGCTGAAATACTTTCCCTAAATGTTCATTTATACAGCTTATAGCAGAACTGAATTTAAGGGTTAAGGCTATCTTTTATTAAAAAAATAAAAGTTATAAAAATGCTGTGAGAGAAAAAGTACTAATATGTAAGTGATTTTTGGTTAAACACACTTTACAAAGTATGTTATGTGCAGTCTTTGTAAAGTCAATTAACTTTGTAAAATTAATTTCAAAAATTTATATTTTGAAATAAACCCTAGAAATAGAATGCTAACTGACACCAACATGTTTTATGTTTTAAAGCCAATTTGAAAATAGCTACTCAATAAAAGGAGACCTACCTAGAAAAAATACCTTGGATTAATGCTAACTCTGATCTTCAAACAATGTACCAAGTATGCATTTTTGTATTCTATTTATGATTTTTTCTTAAGATCACGATATTTTAATGGTGACTTAAAAAGATTAGTAGACCAAAAATAT